GGAGTTGAGCCCGCGGCGTTCAGCTCACCGCGCAGCTTATAAGGCGGGCGGCGGGGCCCCGGGTCACGTGACCCCGCCCCGGCCCGCCGCCCGCCCCAAGCGCCAGGGGGCGTGGCCGCCGCGCGCCCCGCCCCTCCCGCGCGCCCGTCCGCTCGCGGTCTGGTGAGGCGACCGCGACCAATCGGGGGCGGGCGACCCATATGACGTCATCACACGCCACCGCAGCCCTGCGTCCGGCGCACTGACTCGGGAGCGCGGACGGACGGCGGACTGACAGCGCCGGGGGCCAGACGCGGGGAGCCGGGCGGGGGGGCGGGGGGGCCGGATGCGGACGGGGACGGGCTGACGGACGGGGCTGCGGGGGAGGGGACGGACACACCGAAGGGCGGAGCTGGGAGGGGACGACGGGCTGGGGGACCGATGGACGGGAATGCGGGGAATGCCCGACGGCGGACCGATGCACGGCGCTGCGGAGCTATGTCGACAGGCTGGGGACTGACCGACGGACGGCGCCGGGGGGTGGGGCACAGGCTAACGGCCAGGGATGGCCGAGAGCGCCCCGGACCTCGGGCGGGCGGCTCCGCGCGCAGGTTCGGACCGGACGGCGGCGGGAGGGCCGTTTCCAGCAGTTGGCAGCGGCGGGCCTGGCGTCGGGTGGTTGAACACCTTAGTCCCCAGATCCTGACGCAGGCTTGGCCCATTCCAAAACTTCCCCAGTGAGGCCTCGCCAGCTGGTCACTCTGCACCTGCGTGTCACCTGATAATAAATACTCTGATCTCTATCCCCTGTCCTGCTCCCTGAGGCTCCTGACACCACAGCTGCTAATTTAAAGCGGGTTCGTGTGTGCAGCGACCAGAAGGTGCTGGCATGCGTAGTCAGGGCTCGGAGATATGAGTTGTTTATCGTGTGTGCAAGGTTGTGCGTGTTGTTAAGGGTACTTTTATGTTTCCCGGCCTCCAGAGTGGTTCTGAAAACTTACGACCTAAGATCCTTTATGAAAGTGAAAGTGATGAAATTTTAATAAAATAATTTCTTCTAGTTTCTAATTGTCTTTGCTTTCATGGGAAAACAAATCATCAAAACCACTCATGAAAAAATAAGACGTTGTTTTATCTTGCTGACGTTATGTATTTATACCCTGTTTGCCACATGGGTCTCACCATCTAAAGAGGAGACAGGCTCCTCGCTGGATTGAAAACCCACATCTTGTTGAGCAAGGTCGTATTATTAAGATGTCCTTGAAAAACGGTAGAGAAAGTCTATGGTCTTTTGTACTGTCTGCGGGTGAGCAGAGATTGAGAGGAAGTTTGTGCTCTAAATAGCAAATTCTCTCACGGCCAAGAGACCCTACAGGCTTAGGCAGTGTGAAATACCATATTGTGTGGCATCTTCCGCTTCAGGGTTTCTGGCTTTATGCCAGAAGGTTAAAAAAAAAACCTGAACATCTTCTGGAGGTATCAACATTTCTCAAATTTGACTTGGGGGGTGGGGGTAGGATTCACAAGAATTTCTAATAGTAATCAGGAGACTTCCAGGAAAAGTAATGCTGGCAGTGGATATGTTTACTCTCCCAGACCATGGCGGTGTTTCCTTAGGAAACCTGAGAGGCGCTACAAAAGACAACTGCCTTGTTAGTGTGTTCCTGTTGCCCCAGGGTCAGAACTGGTTTCTCTTCTTTGTCTCCTTTACCTGACGGGCTAGACACAGCCTGATTGTGTGGATGTCCTACCCCCGGTCCATGATGCCAACGTGGCATGAACTTAACCTAATGTTCTCCTATGAAAACATAAAAGACTGTTGTCACTGTGGATTATAACCAAAATTGCTCTCGAATGGTTATGTTCAATAGAGACGGCGTTTGCTAATAATGTGACTTGTTCTCATTTCTTGAGCCTGTGACCCAGACAAAGCGGGAGTTGGTGGACAGGAGGGTTCCGTCTTCAGCTCTGCCTGTGGGCAGGCAGGGCCAGGCTTTCCCCTCTCTGCCCTGGTCGCAACTATGTACTTTGTTCCCAAAGGTTCAAAGTAGTTTTGACTCCAAGGAATCCAAGAAAGGCTTGGAGCCTTGAAAGGCTCCAAGTGGCCTTTCTCTCCACTTCCTGCATAAGTACATGAAGATATGTTTCTCTGTGTGTGTGTGTATGTATGTGTATACCTTCACAGTAATGTTGGAACCCACAAAGTTCCAAAAAGCTGCCCAGCTATCAACCAGCAGGAAACTGGTCCGATAAATGATGGCACATCAGTACAATGGGATACTGTATAATTGAGAGTCATCCCTTCTTCAACCATCAGAAGACTGTGCTGGGTCTCCCCTACCCCACCCTCAAGTTCAAGTCCCATACACACAGATTAGGAAGCACTGATATAAATCAAGCTCTTAACCTCATGGAGATGCATATACATCACAGCCTTGACCCTGAAATGTAGGTGTGTCGTGGATTCAGTTGGGAAACACCAGCAGATACAGGAAGCTTTAGCACATCTGCTTTCAAAACCTGGTTTATTCAGATATATGAGGCCCAATAAACCAAGGTGACAGCTCTCTGCTTACCTACTGAACTGCTGTAGACAGGGATTCCCGGCAGCACAGAAATCAGCGTATCTGTCTTCTGGGATCTAAGATAGTTTTCTTCATCTTTTTTCTTTTGCCATTCTGTGTGGCCATGCAGACTATCCCAATATCTTTCCATTTCAGTGTTCCTTATGTCCAAGTACGTATCTTATAAAAAAGCTTTATGGGTTCCTGTGTTGTCTGTCTGCTGTGCAGAAAAGGGCTGTTAATTCCACTAGCTAATTGGTGTGTTCGGGTCTGTTCACTCAGTTACCTTTTTCTCTCTACCGGAGCAGATGTTAATGCAGCCTAGCCTCTGATTCTCCATCCCCTCTGGCGTCTGTACTGGGACTCTGTGAATCAGGGGGCTCCTGAAGCCACACAGAGGCCCCAGGGACCCGTGGGAAGGCGGGAGGGATGCCTGTGAGCTGCATTTTGTCTGGTCCCTGCCGGGGGCTGTCAGCATGGCCTCTATCTCAGGTAGCGTTGGTCACTGCATCCCCAGGGTGTGTGGTTTGCCTAAATGCCTGTGGAGTGTGACCTCATGAAAGAAGTCAGTCTAGGGGAATGACAATGGAAGGATTTGGATTTACTGTCTGGAGATCCCGAATCCTCGATATCAGGAACCATATTCAAATATTTTGAGAGTTTGAAATGCCATTATCTCCAGCGAGGCTGTTATTGATGTAATTTCTCTGTTCAACATAATGGGCTCTATTCTCTCCAGCCCGTCAGTGAGTCTGAGTTAAGTATCTGGGGAAATGTGTTCATGAGGGTCCCATTTAGTTCTTAATTGTACCACTTTATATTAATCATTATAGATGTGCTATTACCCAGGGGAGTTTACTGTCCCTTATGAACTAAACCCAGTCCCGTGCCTTCTCCCCAGACCACTCACTAAGGGCACGATGCTCACACAGACAAATCGTGGGATCATGGGCGGTGTGTGTGTGGGGCTGTTCTAAGAACTTTAAGACATCGTGTAGTGGGCAATCTATGGCTCTTAGTTTGTATTCCTACTGTCCTTTTAATTATAACACTAATAACCATTTTAAAAATAATCTATTTAAATAACCTATTTTTGAAAGTAGGGTAGATGATTAAGTATATTATTATTATTTTTTAATTTATTTATTTTTGGCTGCGTTGGGTCTTTGTTCCTGTGCGCGGGCTTTCTCTAGTTGAGGCGATAGGGGGCTACTCTTTGTTGCAGTGCGTGGTCTTCTCATTGCGGTGGCTTCTCTTGTTGCGGAGCACTGGCTCTAGGCATGAGGGCTTTAGTAGTTGTGGCTCGCAGGCTCGGTAGTTGTGGCTCGTGGGCTCTAGAGCACAGCCCCAGTAGTTGTGGTGCCCAGGCTTAGTTCTGCGGCATGTGAGATCTTCCCGGACCAGGAAGATGAACCCATGTCCCCTGCATCGCCAGGTGGATTCTTAATCACTGCGCCACCAGGGAAGCCCAGTATATTATTTTTTAATAGGAAAACATCACGTGCTTATTGTGCTTATCGTAAAACATTCAGAAAACACGTGAAAATACATTTTAAGAAAATTCATAATTCCCACCACCTAGAGACACTCACTGTAACTTTTTGGGGTATTTCCAGATATTTTTCCTATGCATGTAGGTGTGTGTTTTTTTAAAAAAACACAAGTAGGATCATACTTTGCATATAGTGGAACCAGGCCTTTGGAGATCATGCATAGACCATGTCATCACTTTTTAACAGCTTTGTTGAGATAAAA